TTTGTGAACACAAACGTCACCTGAAAATTGGTATAACAAATTTTGGTGGTATTTTGCATCATAGCGCTCCTGTAAGGAAGCAAAAAAACACTTTAAAATATGATGTTTTCTTATATATGATGAAGATTACCATAAACTGACACAGGGCATATGACTCGAAAATTGACGGTGTTATTTTTTAGTCTAATTTGAAAGATCATTGAAAACTGTAGAGTAACTTCTTTGACAGATTTTTGTTTTCTTGCTTCGTTTTGGAGATATTTCATTTTGTATGATATGCAAAGCACCAACTTTCTACGTCACACATGCATAATGACTTACTTCAAAATGTTATATAATTTTGTCACTATCAAATAAATTCGCTCAAAATGAATGATGAGCACGAGATTTGTCCACAACAACGCCCATGTAGGTTTTCTACTGATTGTGTTTAGTCGTATTGAAGATACACAGCTAGTTTTAGGGCTAAATCATTATGCATATGTGACGTAGGAAGTTGGTCCTTTGCATATCATACAAAATGAAATATCTTCAAAACGAAGCAAGAAAACAAAAATCTGTCAAAGAAGTTACTCTACAGTTTTCAATTATCTTTCAAGTCAGACTAAAAAAATAACACCGTCAATTTTCGAGTCATATGCCCTTTAATCCAGATCCCCTTCGGCAACCTGACGTTCGTGTTGACAACAACGTCACTTGCTTAAGTTCCCTATTGTTATTGTCTGTTAATATTGCGATAAACAGTACAGTCCATTATCTGTGCACTTGTTAACAAGCTTGCCACAAACCTATTGCAAAGACATCTTGTTGACAAGTCGTTGGAACAACAATACCACAACTTGTTAACAAGCTTGCTACATGTAAACTTGTTGCGAACAAATCTTGTTGACAAGTTGTTGGAACAGCGTTGTCACAACTTTTTAACAAGCTTGCTACAAGCCTGTTCAAGAGACATCTTGTTGACAAGTTGTTGGAACAGCATTGTCACAACTTGTTAACAAGCTTGCTACAAGCCTGTTAAGGAGTCATCTTGTTAAGAAGTTGTTGGAACAGCATTGTCACAACTTGTTAACAAGCTTGCTACAAACCTATTGCAAACACATCTTGTTGACAAGTTGTTGGAACAGCATTGTCACAACTTGTTTTAACAAGCCTGCTACAAGCCTGTCGAGGAGACATCTTGTTGACAAGTTGTTGGAACAGCATTGTCACAACTTGTTTTAACAAGCTTGCTACAAGCCTGTCGAGGAGACATCTTGTTGACAAGTTGTTGGAACAGCATTGTCACAACTTGTTAACAAGCTTTCTACAAGCTTGTCGAGGAGACATCTTGTTGACAAGTTGTTGGAACAGCATTGTCACAACTTGTTAACAAGCTTGCTACAAACCTGTGAGGAGACAACTTGTTGACAAGTTGTTGGAACAGCATTGTCACAACTTGTTAACAAGCTCGCTACAAGCCTGTTGAGAGACATCTTGTTGACAAGTTGTTGGAACAACACTGTCACAACTTGTTAACAAGCTTGCTACAAGCCTGTTGAAGAGACATCTTGTTGACAAGTTGTTGGAACAACATTGTCACAACTTGTTAACAAGCTTACTGCAAACCAATAGCAACACATCATTTTGACAAGTTGTTGGAACAGCATTGTCAGAACTGCCACTGACTAATTTTTTGTTCCTTACAGAGTACGGCCTTCACTTCCCGAGAAACATCTATCTGTCAGTCCTGAAAAAGCTCCACCGCTTCCAAGGCGGTCTGTAGCAAATACCTTATTACAAAGTGTAAGTTCATTTGTTAGAGCTATCGTCAGGGAAACGTACATGATGCATGCTCGTACAAATTGTTTTCACAGCGGCAGCAATTTCCAGCCAAATGTATACAAATATTTAATTAAACCGTTGTAACTCAAATACAGCTACCTATCTGTCCAAATAGCCTAGTTTGACATATAGCCTAATTTGAGCATGACGATTTCAATTCTGAGCTTGTGATGTTACTCTGAGTGTATATCCACACCGGGCAAGCTTGAAAAATATGCCTGGCCACGGTGGATATACAAGCTTGCCCGGTGTGGATATACACTCAGAGTAACATCACCACAAGCATCATATTCACCTGAGTAAATTACACCAACACAGAAAAAATCATGATTTCAATTCTGTCCATTTTTGGTAAAGGTCTTTGGATCACTGACTTTCAGTTTCATGTTAACACATTAGACGCTCAATAGAGCTTTATTTCCCGCTCATTTTCACATTTTTTGTAGTCACCCACGTTACCAAGATCAGACGAAGCAGACAGACCTCCTCCTCCGAAACCAGAACGGAAGTCTACGATGCCTCGACCTACTGATCTGGATTTACAAAATGGACCCGCACAGAAATCTCTTCCTGCGATAACACCTGAAGGACCGGGGGTAAGTACGACAAGGCAAAGCAATATGCTTCATTTGCCAAGGGTTCGAACAGAAACCGCAAAACGCTCCTTTTATTATAACGATTGTAAGATTTTTAATAGACTTAATTCTTAGTATTTTTATAATGTAGCCTACTAGTTTTAGAGTAGTAGCAGCAGTTGTAGTATATTTTGTATATTCATGTAATTTTAAAGATGCTGTAAAGTCCGTTCGTACATTACGGACTTTACATCACCTTTAATAATAGTACTATAGTTGATCAAATTTACAGGGCCCCTATTGATATCAGAAGCTTGTCTTCTGAAAGGATAACCCTGTTGAAATAAAGGTTTTACAAATCGGGGGGGGGGGTATGCTGAACTTGCTTACTTTGGTGACGCAGTCGTCGGAACAACCCTTTCGCATTTCACCGAGAAAAACAAATCTGTACGTTGCTTTTATATGAAATTCTAATGCAAAATTGACCAAACCTGCCAAAGGCAGGCAGAGTTGGTCTCAAATGGACCATTTGCATTATAGACTAAATTTTGATCTAGACAAAAATTTCATCACAGCTTGAAAGAGCATCACAAAATTAGTAATATTCCAAAGTTTCGTTGCGAAATCTTGTAAAATGCGGATAATATAACCTTGCGAAATTTGCAATTTTCAGTCATTTTGTATTGCAAAAAGGAAATTGATGCCCCAACACCCGATTGGGCTGTCAATTTCCCGTGCGTAATACAAAATGACTGAAAAACGGCAAACTTCGCAAGGCTATATTATCCGCATTTTACAACATTTCGCAACGAAACTTTGGAATATTACTAATTTTGTGATGCTCTTTCAAGCTGTGATGAAATTTTTGTCTAGATCAAAATTTAGTCTATAATGCAAATGGTCCATTGAACAAACATTTTCTCTTTATATAGGCACCTCCAAGGCCACCGAAGACTCCGAAGAAGACGTAAATCTCCGGAATAAATGAAAATAAGAAAGATAAATATTTTTATAATTTGAATTGAAAATGCAATGGTAACTTTTATTTTTTCAATGCGCGCACAAAATCAGTTGGGCTGATCATGTAATATAATATGTACTAATTGGGATAGAATGAATCGGGAACACGACGCCTGCTCGGGTGTTCACTCGGTAAAAATATATAATGAAGAATCCGTCAAAGAGTGAGGAAATTGCTTGCTCTTTGAAATATGAAGAAACAACAATTGCTTTAGGCCACATAAAAAAAAATAGTTGGTTAGCGTCCCCGCCCGCCCACAAAAAAGGCCCCGCTCAGGATTTTTTTTTATTTTTTATTTTAAAAAACCCCGACTTTTATTGATCAACGGGCTCTAATATATGTAGTATTTCTGTTGACTGTAGTCAATTGTGTTAATAATTTGCGAAATTGCGTGCGAAAATGACGGTATGAATTATATTTTGAAATATATAAAAAAATATCTGTACCGCGCAAGAAAATCCAGTTTCGGACCTAACAGTGAGTAAAACCAAGGCGTTAAAAATTAGTAAAAATTAAAAAAAAAAGCGTCCGCCCGCCCACTTTTTGGCAAAAGCTAAGGACGCTAACCAACTATTTTTTTTATATGGCCTTATAGAGAGAAACAGGTATTTTCCCAAGGGTCGACATAATTGCCTGCCAGTGGCCAAAAGCAGGCTATACTCGCGAGAAATGACAAAAATGTTATTTTTGACTGCCAAGTCAAAAAAAAATATCGGTGGCAAAATTCTTTAATAGTCCAGTAGAACAGCTTTGTTATGCAATAGGCCTGCTCGGCAGTCGGTATTTTGGGGGAGGATTTTTTACGCAGGCTAGTTGACTTCTTCAAATACATGAGTGATTGAAACATTGCTCTTATGTCAAATTAATCCACGCGGCCCACGCAAAGGCCACGCAAAAGGTTTCCGTTTTTATATCAATTTTTAAAATAAGTTAGGGTTAGGTTAGGGTTTAGGTTAGGGTTAGAATAGGATTAGGGCGAGGGTTAGTATTAGGGTTAGGGTTTAGTTTTGTGTTAGGATAGTTTTTTCTACGTTATAAAAACGGAAACCTTATTTTGAAGTATACTATCTAGCGATCACCCGCAAGCCATAGAACAACACATAGCGCCTGGGTACGAGGCAGCTCATGGCCAGAAATTGTAAAACCATAATTTATTCGACATGCCATGCACACAATTAACTCGAGATCTTTGTAAGGTGATGTGAGACTGACTCTGGTATCGAGTCGTCCCACAGACATGTTTAATATTTACATAATAATAATAAACTCGGAAGCAAAATATCTGAATGAATGGTTTCATGATCCAAGATTTATCGTATTGTTATGCAATATTAGTAGGGTAACCATATGACTTGTGGGAACCGGCCCAGCCCAACCACTGCTTGGCCCCGACAAAAATACTCTTATAACCCCCGCAGGCGGAAGTCGTCCCTTTTAATTTCCAAATATGGTCTGGTTTATTCACTTCCGCCTTGGGGTTGAATTGATCGATTTTGCATTTCGAAATTATGCAATTCAAGACAACAAATTAATCTGACAGCGACAGGCAAAACACGCATAAAGTCTTCCAAGAGAATATAATGAAGTCCATATTAATATTTCTTTGTGTAATTGCTACCGTAGTGAATTTTATAAACGCTGATGTTTACCTACATTCGCCAAGAGGTTCGAACAATCGACTGAATGAGAAGTCAGCGAATCGCAAAAACGCAAATCGTGTCTTTGATTCGCAGGTTTGTAATACAAAATGCGCCTATTTTGGTACATTTTAAGGTATATATTTTGTGTGTAGATTTAGAGACGGTTTTATTTAGAAGCATACTTTTGTATGCCAAATTAGTAAATCGTATATTATCAGTTTGACACTTGACAATGACAATAAACAAATTTGCTAAATGAAACCTCGATATTCAAGTATTTTTTCTGTAAAAAGGAAGTGTTTCATTTTGGTAGAAAATATTATAAAATACAATTTGGGCACACTTGATTTAATCCAAAAACCTAGATTTCGTAATGTTTGCTGCATGACATGTATATTATGACGACATATGAAGATTATAAATATTTTACCATGGCGTTAAAAAATAATTATGGTCACCTGCTGTCTGATATCAATTTGCTAAAGAACTCCTTCCACTTTGTTAAAGAACTCTTTGAAGTTAATAAGCAAAAGTGGTTTGGTGGTTGGCCAAATATGTTTTAACTTTTATGAAGTATTCAGCTCAATAAATGAGAATATTTTTTGGTTCTTTTGTCCACATTTGCAACAACAAGCTTTTATTTATATAGAGAGTAAAAACATCTTGACATTGTGTTTACATACGTGATTGTATTTGGTTTGGTAAAACCTTGGATAATTCTTTTATAATGCACCTATCAATGTTAACCCCAGGGGGGGGGGGGTTGGGCATATGTGGGGTATTTGATCATCAATTGCATCCCCACCCTGGGGATTTTGATTAGCATTTGGCCCTGAGTTGGGGCAATTTGAACCGAATGACTTTTATTAATATAATATTTATTGCAAAATGGTGGGGCATTTGACCAATATTTATTGCCCGACGGTGGGGCATTTGATTGAAAATTCGCTCAAAAAATCAAATGCCCCACCTATGCCCCCCCCCTCTGGGGCTTAACATTGATAGGTGCATAATACCACAGCATATTCATACCACCCATGGACAAATATACTATACAAATATATGACTCGGAGGGGGGGGGGGATTAAATTTCTATTACCATTAATAGAAATGTAAAATTGAATGTAAAAACTGAACTCTTACCATTATTGGTTATTATAGTATGGTAAATTAGTTGAAACCATTATGTTATTATTTACTAGGAAAATACCATTAATGGTAAATATTACAGATTTATATTAAAACATCATGGTTTTTACCATATTGGAATATCTATAATATTCAGGGCTCGAAGTAGAGAAAAAATATGGCCTGCCAGTCTAAAATTTTTTGGCAGGTAAAATAAATTTTAGCCTGCCATTTTTATTCATTGAACTTCCAAAATGGCGATGTCTCATATGAGTCGTATTGTAAAAATCAATGTTTTCATGATATGCATTTTTATTGTTTTTAAACTTGTCTATTTTTATACTACAGTAAACTTCGTTTACATTTCAAATATAAACGTATTTAGTCAACTAAATGATCTAGTATATATGAGTTGTGGTAAACAAATGAAATGAAATATATCTATAGAATTTCACCTGCTATTTTTTTTACTTTGGCAGTTCAAATTTGTTTTGCCTGCCATTTCTAAAATATGGCCTGCTTTTGGCCATTGGCAGCCCGCTATTTCGAGCCCTGATAATATTAAACCAATAATGGTACCATTTTTACATTGATAGTATACATGGTAAGTCTAAACACCATTTGAAACCCATCGATGGAAATTTACATTTTCTCCCTGTATAACCACCAACACCACAGAGCTTGAACAGGGGGGGACTTGTAGACAGAGAATGAGTAATTTAACTTAATTAGCACTTTAATAGATTTGTCCATCCTGCCCTAAATTATTCAATATCACTGTGCATTTTTACAAAATATAGTGACAGTTCAAGTGTGTTCAAGCATTCAGGGGTCTGATATATGAGTGCAAAATTGTCTCCCATAATAACAAGTATGCAGATTTTAGGCTAACTGTAATAATTTTTCCTAGAATAACAATCGAGGTGGTTACAATGTTGGTGACAGAACAGATCAAGCAGCAAATAAGGAATCAGAACAGTATAATATGGTGAGAGAACATTTATGGCATTAGGGTGATTTGTACTTTTCATTTTATTCATGTATTAGTCACATATGATTTCAATATCATAATATTATAATATAGAATTAGAACATAAGATTAGAACATTTAGGCACATATCAGTTTGTATACACTTAACAATTATATCTTCATAATTAGTGGGCAGGGGGAGGTGGGTGATTGCCCCCTGCTCTCTCCCTCCATCAATATTCTATACTATGTTGAAATAACATTTAGCTTTAGAAAAAAAGCCCAAACACTCAAAGTATTAAAAAAGTTGTTTTTATCAATATTGTGTCAATTTTGCTGGAACTACTGGCACAGTTTTACCATGCTGGCAAGCTTGACCCCTACTTTTACTGATCAAAACAACTTACTAAAGTATATTATACAAAAATTATATCAGAAAACACAGCAAATTTGATCTTTGTTAAGTTTGTATTGTTAAGTTCGTACCTGATGACTACTATGCTGTATTTAAAATGTAAGAACCTCCTTATAGCTAACCCCCCCTTCCCCCAACTTTACTGACCATGTTTTGGCCACCCAGACCTCCTATGCCTTTACCTTTTTACTTTTTTTTGTGAATGAGAGTGTTAACTCCATGTCTGTTGGTAACTATGTAAGCTACTCTATTGGAGTGTACGTATGTGTGTATATAATTTTATGTTTATTTTAGGCAGGTATAAAAGTCGGACCGGATTGTGGTCCGGGTCGGATCAGGTCGGATTAGGTCGGACCAAGTCGGATTAGGTCGGATCTTTAGAAAATTTAGAAATATCAGGATATTCAGGGAAATGTTACTTACACAAATGGAAGTTTGCATTCTTTCCCGCGTTATTTACACAGCGTGAAACAGCGTGGCAAATTTGCAAAATGGATGGCGACGAAGGTAAAACATTTTATGTTATTAGATTTTTAGACCACTTTTTTGAAAATTATTGCATCGAACTGCCTTATCAATATTTTATTTCCTTTAATTCCGGACTAGCGATTCGGTCATCTATGGATCCGGTCCGATTTTTGTACCTGCATGATCCGACCCGGACCACAATCGGGTCCGATTTTTATACCTGCACGATCCGACCTGATCCGACGCGGACTGGCGATCCGATCCGACGCGGACTGGCGATCCGGTCCGACTATTATACCTGCCTGTTTATTTTAAATGTTTTCAGGAATTTTTCCAAAGTGGACCAAAAGGGGAAGGAAATGAAGGCAAATCATTTCTGACAATTGAATGGACAAATCAACATGGCTGTGGAGGAAGTGAGGACAAAGATCCACATAAACTGAACTGCAATCTTGTATTACAGTACATGTGTGAACCTGATGTTGCTAATCCAGGAAAATTTAACATACGGAACGGTAAGTTTATCCTTTTACATTGAATTTTTTTCTGCTTTTTCCAATCTCCACTTGTGTTGATATAACTGTAATCAACATGGAAAATGTTTTATATTTGTTTTATAATATAGCACAAAGAAATATAAAGAAAGAAATTTTCCGTGTTGACATTCAGTTATCCAATCTTTTCGGTAACCACTGAGTATTCTAATAAAATACAATACAATGGAAACTTCGAAGAAATTTATACGTACAGTATCTTTAATTCAACGTTTCGACTACTGTTGAGTCATCATCAGAAATTAATTCATTCCTGATGATGACTCAACAGTAGTTGAAACATTGAATTAAAAATATGAATTTCTTCGGAGTTTCCATTGTGTTGTATTTTCTTAGCCAATCAGGGTTCAGAATTTACAAACGCTATATTCTAATGCCCTATTATATACTGTATTCAATGCAGTTCAAAAGTTGATTCAGCTGGAGATAAACGTCCTTTGATCAAACGTTGCATTGCTTTCCTCATCTCACTGTTCATTACAGTATAAATTACTGGGTTTAAAGAACTGTTAAAATACTTGATCCACTGGACTACTATGGTTACTTCTTGTGGTGGATTCGTACACTGTAGATTTTTCCATTCCAGACATATGGTAGTGCGCAAGAAAAACACGAAATAGCCGATAAAACACAACACGAACGCACTAACAACAACTGCTAGAGTCCGTGTTGCTTTGAGTTCTGCTAAGAGTGAAAGTGTGCGTTTGTTTCTTTGATTTTGGCCGCTGTTATCACTGTTTTGCTGTTGCTGTTGCTCGTCAATGGCAATGATACGCATTCTGTGTTTAAATGCGATCTTGCCAATCTTTCCATACATGACAAGGATGACCAGAAGAGGAAGAATGAAAGCAAGGATTGTTATAACAAGATTGACATCAGGACGAGGTTGTTTGTTCTTATATGTGAACTGTATAAGAGAGTAGTTGAGTAGACCATACAGCCAACTCAGGATTATCATCACAATAACTTTGGTCTTTGTTAGCAGTGTATGATACCTGAAGAAAATGTTAAAAAAATCAGTTAAAGATGTTATTGGGCGGGTGCACACTTGGGAATAGGATTATAGCATTACGACTGGTGCAAGGAAGAGTTAAGCCAGACTGCAGAGTTGGTCAATGCCACCCCAAGATTTTTAAACAATTCTCTTTAACCCGCCTTACAGTTAGATCTGGTTGACCACATTTGTATCTTTAACTGCCTCTAGATGTCGACTCATTGCTTCGGAAACAAATTTTTGTGCCACTGACGCGCTAGGTTTTAACCTTTCGTTCCTCAGAGGTCTCGTCGAAGCGTAAAAATACCGCACTCAGCTTAATTGTAAAATGTTGGAAATTGGTAATTAGCTCATTTTCAACTGCAAGTAAGGATGATTAGCACTCCTCCTCAACTCAGTAACGCACGCACGCACACACACACACACACACACACATCTATACTAAAAGCAGCGCTAACACACACACAATACCACACACACACACACACACACTATACTAAAGCAGCGCTAACACACACACACATTATACTGCATGAAGCAGCGCTAATATATATATTACTGAATTGGGTCAAGTTGGTATATAATATATACCCAATATATACCCAATTCAAAAAAGGTTGTCTTTCAAAAATCTTAAACCTTCAAATTAAACATGGAGCGTTGAGCGCTCAAGGTATATGGCTTCTGACAAACGATCAAACTAAAGCAATACCTGAGAGGGTATTGTATGCACACATAGCGATCCACACTAATGTACATCAAGTTAACAATACTTGCAATGGATGTGATCATATCTATAGCTGTCCATAGTTGTTTCACTTCAGGATTCTGCCAGCGTTGACCTCTATTGATAGCAATTGTAAATATCGGCAGTGATAACCCTCCGACCATGATATCGGCAAAAGCTAGTGATACCACAAAGTAGTTGGTAGTAGTTCGTAACCGTCTTGTTGTTCCAAACGCCAAAATCACCAGAACATTTCCAATAATAATGACAGGAATGAGCACGCTAAGTAAAACTGTACTGGTGGTAATATAAGTTTGACTGTTCCATATCATTTGCGGTATACTACCAGGGCAACTCTTGTTCAAAATCACCATTGTGTTGTTGATGTTACACTCACTAACGTTCTGCATTGTTGTCATAACACTCTGGTTCCGCCTCAGGTTTTACAAAAGGTCTTCGCCAGTGTCAATACACGCCAAGGTGTTCTTCGTATTTCACTGTCGGGTGGGCTGTGATAACTGAATATTAGTGTCTTTTCTCTTTCAACGTTCCTTCTATTTTTCGTCTACTTAAAAGATATTTTTGTGATGTAATAGGATTGATACGTTCCAAAGATTTTCGAGTTTGGTTATTTCAATCACGCAGCGTTGCGCGTCTGTCGTGTTTCTGTTCTTTTTATTCAACACTGCTAATCTTCTGTTTTGATTTATAATATTTACAATATTGGCTGTACTTTTTTGCAATCCTCTTAACGTACTGAGTCAACTGACTACTGTAATTTGTCCGTTTGTTTCAGTATTTCAGCTATTTCTGGTTTATTGCTTGTTTGCGCGGCATAGAGTCCCAAGTTCTTCAGTGCCTTTGCCCAACGTCCGTGAGTTTAAACACCTTCAGTGATTTCAGTAAAAGCTTATAATGCTTCTTTGAAGTTTCTATGCTTATAGTTTCTTTTACCTTCCTAAATGAAAATAAAATATTTGTCATGTTGTCAAATAATTTAGCACACTATAAATCTGAAATAATTGCATATTTTTGTTATAAAATTAACTTAATTAAACCTATAGTTAACGCGTTTCGCTTTCTCCTGAGTCCTGAGATTTATTAAGACCACATGCGTCTTCTTATAATCTACATATTAAATACTGCATGTATCCTTTACAGATATATAGCCTGAACAGCTGAACTACCAATAACATGTAACTGCATGTAATCTGTTGTACAAATCTCGAAAAGACCGGTACAATACAAGAAATCTTGAACTCCTGCTGTTGTAAGAAACTCTTGTGCCTACGGCTTGTTCTATATTCGTAATACCACAACGATTCTGTGTTCGCCAACTATTCTCGCGCTCAAGCATTGGCTGTGAGGCTAACAAAAGATGCGCAATTTATACAATAGTCATCAGTAACTCGTGCGAGACAATATAGTCATACCTCGCTACCTTTTGACTAGATGTTGCAGCCTTGAGAATTCCCAGTAAAGTTCAATTATGTTGGGCTCCGCTGATATTTAACCACTAAAACCACTCATCCCTGTCCTTATCAGCTTGATAATAATATACTGTGTACTTTTTACCTCCAGCTGAAAACACAAGTCGAATGTCAGATTGCTATCTTGACGACAAGAATGTTGGAAAATTACCCAATCGTTGATTTTATGCTTTGAAATATAAACACGCACACACGCGACGGTCAGAATGAAGTATTGAAATACACTTAGACATCTTTTCGACCAAATAAGTATCGCATGCAGTTTGTGATTTAAGACTATATTTGAACCTCGTTGATCGAGAGGAATGAAATGTTAACGTTGCCCAAGCCGTGTGCTTTAAATCTGTCAGTATCGTCAAGATATAATATTTGGTGATAACACGAGTCACATCGGTTACAAAACTGTTTACCTTCCGATGGATTTATATCTTGAAAAAGCAACTTGCCATGGTTTATTTACTGACTAAAGAACAAAATAACACACTTTATCGCGAAAAATATCGTATTCTTTGACCAAGTAACAAACTTTTAATTCGTAGGCGGAGTGAAATTGGATTCTGGTTTCCAAATTCAATTTGATTATAAAACCCTATGCATACTCCACTACTCCAGAGCAGCGACGATTTTATCTGCGTTCACAGGCGGCTTTCTATTATATCAGATCTCTGCGCTTTTATTGCAGTTCGCATGTCATTATCGTATCACTTTAATTTAGATTAATAGAGTGTGAAGCTGTGGTTGTTTGCTTCACGAGTTTACAGATTATATTCTGCGTTCGAACACAAACCCTAATTAGAACGTATTTTTTAAAATTTAAGTGCCATTCATTGTTCGATAGCATATTAGTTGTGTCTTGATAGATGTTTTAATAAGCTTCGTTGGTGTGAAAAACGGCTGTCTCCCCGCAAAAACATACTACATTCATTGTGAATTATTAGCCATGCGGTGATGAAATTATCGAACTGCACTATTTTCAACTTGTGCAGTTAGCAGTTCAATAAACCACCTAATCATATGCAACACGTCTACATGCAGAAACAATTTAATTGCTGTCTTCCAAAGAACCAATAATCAAGATAATCAAGATGTCATTTGCAATTCAATTCAATCCTTTAATTTTGACCATCTGGTTTGCGTTTCAGGCTGTTAGAGTTGGCCGGCCAAGAGGAGAGGAGGGGTAAGGGGGGGGGGGGACTTTGATACAACATTGCTTAACCTGAGAAGATGAATGCCATGAATCATAGCTGCGTTAGTGCCGGATAATATGCAAGTGTAATATATTGTAAAACACTGCTTATCCCGTTTTACAATGATGACGTCATAGGGGCCATCTGAGCACGTTTTGCCCCAGGCCCCGCGCAACCTCTCGAAACCTAACAGTTTATACGTATTTTTAAATAGACACCTTTATTTATTCCTTATTCAGAGTAGTGCTATCAGCGACAAAAACATGTCATTGTTATCAACAGGAGCTCTGATATTAAGATTTACAAGATTACTACATTAGATTACATTACAAGTCGTTTTATTTGCGTCAAAAATTGCAAAAAGCTGTCAATGCTGCATACACATGACAATCATTGAAAGTGGAAAAGCATACTTATTTAGGATATGAATATTTTATAAAAAGACGAAAATACACAGGATTTAAAGGATGTTAAGCGTTTTAATAGAGCTTTTCAAATACATACGATGACGTGACAGCATTTGTGTGTTTCATTAGCGATAGCATTATTCTAATTAATGTTCTAATTTTATCTTTTAACGAACTTCGACATTCGGAAATTATTTCAATGGCATAGTACAAAACATGGACTGGACCCATGGACTGGACCCAAAATTGGACTCAAAATTGGACCCAAAATTGGATTCAAAATTTTAGCCAAAATTTTGTCCCAAAATCCATTATTTTATCGGAGAGAAACAACCCTCAGAATATCGTGCTATGATTTAATTTGTATAGGCAAAAAACTTCACGTTCCATCACTTTTCCTTGACCTATCTAATATCTAGCTATTTGTCTCCCAAAATTCTATATTCTATTTTCTAAACGTTATCTAGGGTATCTCGTAAATAATAAACCTTTGTGAAATATCTTTGCGCAATGGTCACAAATACATCACATCGATATAAATCATTCCATCAATATACACATCAATATATAGTTATCAGTTTTAATTATATACATTTTGTGTCTGTACAATACGCCCTCTATATATTCCGGCATATATATCCTCTAACGAGTAACGAATTCGCAAAGTTTGTTTTGTCCATATATTCTAATATTTATTGCAACTAGCTATATAGTGTATCCTATCTATATAGTGTAGCTATATAGTGTATCCTATCTCTGAGGATGGTTCTGAAATAGAATTGAAACACTGCGCGTCCTCTAAGACAAGCGTTAAGTCGTCACGAAAATATTTCGTGCACTTGGATAAGACTCGCTACCATTACCGATCCCTGTTGACTCGATAGCTCAATAGGTAGAGCGGCGGTCTAGATACTCGAAGATGCGAGTTCAAATCCCGCTCGAGCCAACGAATTTTTCGTTGGTCGATTGCAGTGCCAGATTAAATATGAAACTAGTTTTTCGTATCTCTGAGGATGGTTCTGAAATACACTATGTGCATAATGATAAGCCCACATATAGCTATAGTTGCGATAAATATTAGAATATATGGACAAAACAAACTTTGCGAACTCGTTACTTGTTAGCTAGGATATAGATGCCGGAAGATATAGAGGGCGTATAACTATATATTGATATATTGATGGAGTGATTTATATCGATGTGATGTATTTGTGATCATTGCGCAAAGATATTTCACAAAGGTTTATTATTTACGAGATACCCTAGATAACGTTTAGAAAATAGAATATAGAATCTTGGAAGACAAATAGCTAGATAGGTCAAGGAAAAGTGATGGAACGTGAAGATTTTTGCCTATACAAATTAAATCAAAGCACGATATTCTGAGGGTTGTTTCTCTCCGAAAAAATAATGGATTTTGGACCAAAATTTTGGCTAAATTTTTTTAGTCCAATTTTGGGTCCAATTTTGAGTCCAAAAATTGAGTCCAATTTTGAGTCCAATTTTGGGTCCAATTTTGGGTCCAGTCCATGGGTCCAGTCCATGTTTTGTACTATGCCTATTTCAATCACGTTAGAGAAATTATCAGCTGTGTTGTTGACAATTGCAGGAAACAGTGCAAATGACTGCTGTCTTTTAGTCTATACTTTACAAGTTTTTGCAATTGCTCCCGTTATAGGTGGATTAACTATATATGTATGACATGCAGTCCATGTAAACATGTTGGTATATACCTCTAGGTCGTGTGTGACTATAAAGGCTGGTTCACACTACAGGGTTCATCCTGTAAGGCCTCCTATTTTCCAAAATGGGTAGTTCTAAAACTTAAAATGGGAAGCTCTAAAATTGGATTTTCGAGCTTTATATGAAAATTAATTGTAAATTAAACGCCAATTCAGATAGTAAGGCAAAAACAAAACCAAATGCCACTCTGAAAACGCAAGACTATGGCCATTCTGGACTTCTAAAATTCCACATTTTCTGGGGGGAACATCAGTGGGAAGCATGCCCCAGGACGTCCCTAACTATTCAGATATCCCGAATACACCATGACCTCGCCTCTCGTTACTGCCAGCCACAGAGTTAGCCTGTGTTCACTACCTCGCAGTCTGTTCTTGTCGAAATGAGCAGTTCTAAATTTTTCTTAGGATGATCCCTGTTACACTATCAAAGTTTCTGTGAATTTTGCAGTAGCAATTTTGCATAGGTAAATTCTAAGTTTTGAAGGATTTGTAAGAAATGTTCGAGGGAACTTACTTAATGATTAACACTGACTCAGTTCCCTCAAATATCTCTTACAATTGTTGCAAATCCTTCAAAACTTAGAATTTACCTATGCAGAATTCCTACTGTGATACTTAATATGTGTAATTGGAATATACTACTTTATAGATGTAAATATGTAAATAGCTACTTAATAGATGTAATTGGAATATTTAGAGCCATCATGTTGCAGGAACTGATATATACACAGACATACATTTCACTGAAAACTACCTATAAACTAATAATACATTGTATTCCATTCGCATTTGTATTCTCGTAAACAAAACATTAACATTAACAAGTAAACTCTGTCAGGATAGTTAGATCAACAAGCTGTTGTTTTTTTTTTAATGAAAGCATCTCATGAATTTAAGACCTTCATCAGTGGTCTTCGTGCATGTATTCTCACCAGTCGTTGATCTCTTTTGCGTTCAGGAAAATTGACCAACACCCAAGATTACAACAACCAGAAACACAACACGAAAAGCCAAAAAGACAACAGGAAAAATGCAAATGTGAACCAAGATAGGGCAATACAGGAACCTTGGGAATGGTATGACAAATGTGACAAGAGACAGAGAAATAAAGGTACGGATAGTTCCAGTCTTCAGGAGTTGCCCGGCATCTTTATGAGCAGGTTCTGTGGTTGCTTGATTATAACCAAATGAAACACAATAAAAGTAAAGAATAGTTTTTCCAAACAACGAGTCGCTTGCTTTTTTGCAAGCAAACCGACCGCTGATTTCATGTAAACGAAAATTCTAGTCTGTGGCGATGTGCCGCTCTAGGTCACTTATACTGTATGATACATTTTTGTTATGATCTTGTCTTTTTTGGCACGTTTTAAAAAGAAATGGAGACATTTTCCTGATGTCTGGCAATTTCTTCCCGGTTTCCTTTTTTGCACCAGTAAACAATTGCTTAGGCTATCCAGTTATACATCAGTGGATTAACTCACTGATTTCCTGCGTTCATAATTTGTAGATTCTATAGTAGGCCTTTTTACATCAACTCTGCTTTTTTGGTCACTTGGCTTTAGGATCGATCATGCCTTGCTGTTTGTGGGTTAGGGCGACTGGGTGAGGGTTAGGAAATTGTGAATAAAATTGATTTATTGTTCTTTCATATTTGACGCCAGTCACAACCCTAACCCTGTGCGCGAGGATCTAACCTGAATCCACAATCTCGCTTTAGGTTTGTTCACCGCTGATCAGAAGCTTCGCGGTGAGTCTAGTAAGAATACGCGACAGAACCCCGGTGGTACGAGATATGGATACGAATGCCCGGAAGAAAGAGACTATTACCCATACTGGCATCCTACAGACTGGAAAGATATTGCAGTCTTTGTTCATGATAAAAAATTATGCGACTATTATCAGATGGAGAGTTTCAATGTGAAACCCAAAGGTAGGAAACAAATACGTTTCTTGTGTGAAAACTTTAATAACAGTTTTCCTTTAGCCCCCACCTTAATAGGGCGCCAACTTGAGAGCAGGAGCCTAAAATTGAGTGGGTTCTTTAAATTGGTCGGAGCATTTTTTCAAATTGAGGGCCCCTTACATTAGCTCCACATGCAGTCTAGCTAAGGTCTAGTTGGGTGACTGACTTGGTCAACTTGGGTCTAGCTTGAATAATGATGTCATGGGGCCCCCAGAGAAGATTTGCCCCGCGAATTCTCTCGGCGGCCCTACCTCCTAATGGTGCCATATTACTCACAGGAGTAAACCAAGGTACCTGCAGGAGAGAACCTGTGGTGTTTGATAAGGTGGATTTCCACTTACAGAGAAATATTTCGTTTGATCTCTTTTGAATTATGACCATCCGAATAAATCGGTTCTACTTGACCGCTCACAATTCAAAAGAAATTAAACGAAAAATATTTTTCATTCCATATTTTCTTTCTGTCATCTATCTTTCTACGGAGTATGTATAGCATGTCTAGTGATTATCTTCTATCCTTCTGTACTTTGTATAAATTATGGTATCTGTAAAAATAATCTAATTTTGAATCATACATTAGCCGTATCTTTTTCTGCCAGTCTTACCGTCTGTCATCTATTTATGTTTACTTTTAATCCTTTAGCTGCACATCGTATTTCCAATGAATAATCCAATTATTAATCGTGTTATCTGTAGCAGCCTTCCTGTCTGTCATCCACTATCAGCGTCGCTCGTCCCTATCATATCTATGAGCAAGGCTTTAAATTTACCTTAGGTACACACGCAAAAATCTTACATCTCAGTGTAGCAAGTCTGCCAACAAGCCGTCAACAAGTTGTGTTCGCATTGCTTGTCCCAAGTTGTCAACAGGTTTGGAACAACCTAGTTGATATTATCAAACTTGTTGCAGGGTTGTTCCAACAAGTCCGATACAATCATGATATAACAATATTGTTACAACCTTGTGTCGTCAACCTTGTAACATTCTTGTTATATCATGACTGTATCAGACTTGTTAGAACAACCCTGTAACAAGCGATATAGCAAGAAGCTTGTTACAAGTTGTTAACAGCTTGTTCCAAACTTGTTACAACAACTACGAACAAGCAGTGGGTCAACCTTCCAGGTAAGCGTATTATAAATCCCATTTTCTCTTTCTAAGGGGAATGTATGGAAAAGTACAGTGGAGGTGGTTACAAACATGCCTCTAAGTACAACCGAAATTCAACATGTGTGGAAGGTGGAGGAGAATGGTTTGAGTTCAGTAACTACTTGGAAGAACCGACTGGGCAGTATAATAGCAAAAAAGCTTGTGAAGGCGCCAGTACAAAAGATATCCCGTTAGTATGGGGAATACCTTACAGAACACAGGACTTGGATACTAAGCCACTCCAGGAGAAGTGTTTGGTAGGTTTGGACAAACCACAGTGTGAACTAGCTCCCTGGTCACGTGATAATCACCTTGGCAACGGCCGCGATGGCGTCCCGCTGAATTATACTTGGGTACTACCCCATTTTCAGAAAGACCAACGTTGTATTTTTAGAATAAGGTAGGAAACGATTCTGACTATACCATTCAGATTTTAGTTGCATAGAATAAATTATGTTCAGATTTTCTTCACGGCTGTTTATCTTGTAGATATAACATCTCAACAGATGACTATGATCCCTTCAACACCA